CTCGGACAGTAAAGAAGTTCTTCCTTATGTCCAGCCTGAAACGATCTTGAAGTAGTTTGTGACCATTCGACCTCGTCATCCCTTGGGGCGCTCTGGTGAACAAACGTTCCCCCAGATGCTGGTGGTCACCCCTGATAAACTTGTAGGTGGCCATCAGATCACCCCTGAGCCTGCGCTTTTTCAGGCTAAAGAGCCCCAGGGCTCTCAGCCTGTCATCGTAGGGTCTGCTTCCCTGACCTCTGATCATGCGCGTGGCTCTTCTCTGGACTCTCTCAAGCTTCTCCACATCCTTTTTGAATTGTGGAGCCCAAAACTGGACACAGTACTCCAGCTACGGCCTCACTAAGGCCGAGTACAGGGGGAGAATGACGTCCCGGGATTTGCTTGAGAAGCATCTATGGATGCAATGTGCACTCCCTGCTCCTCCATTGCAGAAATCTATTTTAATCCGTTTTTAAAAACACACTTATTCTCTAAAGCAATTGGCTCCAAAATGTGGTACCTCTACTTTTGCTATTTACACACTCTCCTTTTTCATCCCTAAAGCTATTTCTTTCGGATTTGGGGGTTCCCAGTTCCTGTCATCTTGCTTTAGTTCAATCTATTCTAGATGGAGCTTTACCTGACGATTGCCTAAAAACGAGGCGCTGAACGCCGCTGCTTAGCGGCGTTCCTGTCAGAGAGTGCATTTTGCACGGGTTCTGTGATTTGGATTGACATACCACTTGTTTCTGTATAAATATGAACTCGCCATTTTCTCAACCTCCTGAAACCCTCAATATTTTGGATCTTGGAAATGGCCCGTCTCCTTATATGGTACTGGAGCAGCCGCTAAAGTTAGAGAGAGAGTTTTGCTAAAAGCTCTTTCCATTCTGGTGTTAGAAAGGAAAAAGGAGAATTGGCAATTGGGAAATTCAAGTGCAACTGCTTTCTCCGCTTGGTTCAGTAGAGGCAGAGTTGCTTGCTGGCATTCAGAACTCACTCTCTATTCTCCAAATAGTTTTGAAAAATAACAGGGTTCAGAAGGATGCCAAGGTGGGCTAAGTGGAGAAACGTGAATGTAGTGGGTAGGGTGCGTGAGAAAGTCTGTTACTAGAAATGGATTTACCCTGATCTTGCAAGCTGCTCTGCAAGGGGGGATTCCTGCCCTGCAGGAAATCAATGGGGTCTGTGGGATGGAAGGGACAACCCAGCTTTTGGCATATTTTCCATACTCTATGGACCCCTGGATTTGCAGTTTAGTACATCTACACAAACAGCCATCTATCTTATTCTCATCCTTCTAGAACCACATGAAGGCTGTCACTCCAGCTCATATGTTATTCAGAGTTAATTCAGTGTCTGCAATTTTAGTCACTATATATGGATAACTATAGGAAGCTGAGTGGGGCTCACTCCGCTACATACTGTACAAATGTTGTCAGACACAGTCTATTATGTCCAAGTATTGTGTCCACATTTTGCAATCCCATCTGGGTCAGCAGGGGTCCAATGTTGCCCCTGCTTTTCCTCCGGCTCCCCACATATCTGAAAAAGGACTTCTTATTGTCCTTGATGCTCAAAGCTAGCTGGAGTTCAGTTGCAGCCTTGGCTTTCCTGGTCTGCTCCCTACAGGACCGGACCAGTGCAGAATAATCCTCCTTGGAGGTGACTCCCATCCTCCATCCTTTGTAGGCCTTTCTTTTTAGCCTCAGGAGATCTGCTAGGTCCCTGGAGAGCCAGGGGGGCTGCTGTGCCCTCTTGCTGCCTTTCCTCCGAGATGGAATAGACTTAGTTTGTGCATTGAGGATCGCTCCCTTGAGGAGCAACCACTCCTCTTGAACTCCCCTCTCCCTGTGGTCACAGTCGCTTAGGGCCTCACTGACAAGCCTCCTGAGCTTGTCAAAGTCGGCTTTCCTGAAGTCAAGGACTTGCGCGTTGCTGACCGACTTGCCAGCTTTTCGGCGGATGGTGAAGGTGATCAGCTCGTGGTCGCTGTCACCCAGCTTCCCATTGATCACTAGGTCGCCGACTAGGTCATCCCCAGTAGCCAGTACCAGGTCAAGCAGCGCTTTGCCTCTCGTTGGCCCATAGACTTCTTGAGTCAGGTAGAGGTCATCCACGCACGAGAGGAAGCTCTGCGACCGCTCAGATTTTGCTGAGCGATCCTCCCATGAGATGTCTGGGTAATTAAAGTCACCCATGACAACCATGGTCCTGGAGCAAGCTGCCTCAGCCAGTTCCTGGGCAAACTCCTGGTCAAGCTCAGGACTTTGGGTGGGAGGTCTGTAATAGACTCCCACCATTGTGTCCCCTGTGCCGTGTTCCCCACGGATTTTAACCTTCATGTAGTTGTTCAACACTACCTGCTGAATCTAAAGTACATGGTTTATGTGTACACCTAAAGTTCTCTCAATTACCACATGTATGCAGGAAAAAAAAAAAAAAAGTTAAGATTTTTTTTGGAACACACAATTCTCCTTTCAGAAAAAAGCTGCCTAGCAGCATGAAGGAAACGACAAATAATTTACCTCAAAATAAGACTTACCAGTGTGACACCCTTTATCATATTTTGCACATGACTGCAAATTGTGCGAACTGTTGCCAGCTCCTTTCTGTTACCCCACCATTTGTCAACACGTAGCTATAATAGAAGTTTAAGAAGTCGTCAGTTGAAATTCTTATTTTTTCTAGAAAACATCTGTTCTTAATTCAGAAGAGCTGAACTACAGAACTGAACAGCCTCAAAATAATCTAGAAAAAAACCTGCTCCATCTTTCTACAAAAGGACTTCAAAGCACTGAAATGCAACTCTGGTGCTCACCATTATATTTTGCCTTTCACTATAAATTTGGTCAAATCAGTTAATTGCTGTGGCCAGTTCTGTAACAATGACATGTTAACAGTTACCACCAAAGGGCTTGCAAAAATGATACTGATACAGCTACTTTAAGATGCTCCGATGAACAATATTCGTGCAAGTATGAAACACTGAACAGGCAAAAGCAAACCTCTGTTCGGTCACCTTTTACTGAAAGACAAGCAAACAAGTTACTTCTTTTTCTGTAAACTTTCAAATAGCCAACAACCTGGGGAAGTCAATAGTAGCGCTTAGTTTTGATCTTGTCCAGTGGCAAAAATGCTCAAATGCGTTAAAAATACTTGTGCAATACAAACAGCACACAGCTACCATTGCCACATTCAGAAAAAGCATTGCTGTCCTAAACAACCAAGTCTTCTGGGATAAGTGATGCTCCCAGACCATCTTGCCCAAGAAAAACTTAAACAAGAAATCAGACTTCCTATGAGAAGTGGCCCATTTTATTTTATATCTAGGCTCCTTACAAGTGAGCACCAAATGCACCCAAATACTGAACTTCAAAGCCTGGCACCTCATACACATGAGACACATCTGTGTCTTCAAAGTTCTGCCTTCAGCCCCATTACTTTCTCAGCTTCTCTTATGGTGGAGCCCTCGCTCTGTTCAGGGTGGCAGTTCTCAGCCTTTTTGGTTGGAAGGCCACCTCTCCACATAAAATTTCTATGACTTGAGCACTGCAATATAGTCAATTTGCTTTTTAAATCGGGGCCACTCACGTCCCTGCAGAGCTGCCAGGCTGTGGGAGTGGGGGACAAGCTGGGCAAGGACAAGCCTGAGCCGGGGAGTTATCCATCTCTTCGGGGAATGCTTCAGAGGAGCTGGTGACTACTGAGCACCCCGACAGCTCCGCACTGCAGTGAACCGGGTCCCTTTCCCAAGATGCACAAGGGGCCCTGAGCACTCCTGCAAAGCAACCCCACAGACCTGGTTGGCCTCGACCCCCGCCACCCCACCCCCCGGGCACGCACCTTCTTGCGCTTCTTGCCCAGCAGTGACAGCTCCACGTTGATGTGGTTGAAGTCGCGGCGCAGAGACCCGCGCGGGCCCTTCACGATCACGGTGCGGCCCTTCAGGGACACGTCCACTGCAAGAGACGGGGGTGAGTGGGGCCGGGCCGGGTCGGGCCGGCGGGGGGCAGGGGGCGGCACATACCTTTCTCGGGGATGTCCACGGCCTGGTTGCTGAGAATGGTCTTCATCCTGCGGGGACGACACAGCAGTCACGCGTCACGCA